ATAATATCCTAAGTCTTCAGAAATTAAGGTAACCTTAAACACTACAAACCTCACCCCTAAAATCCCTTTGAATACCTAGCCTTGATTGCCTTGTTTATTTTTCTTTTGATAAGAACCACTGGAATTTTTAATAAATATTAAGAGCTAGTTGACTAGAAGTTAGATCTAAGTGTCTAGATTTTCGCATGACGTATCAACATATTAGTGATACTTGTATTTTGGTGAGAACTTTCTAGGATACACCTGATTGATGCATTATGATTGGTTACGGTTTAGAAGTATGGTCACTGAGATTTCGTTAGTTCATGCAATTTTCAAACCTTTTTTCTAAGTATAAATCTTTGTTTTGTTTAAGGACAAACAAAAGTCTAAGTCTAAGCTTGATAACACGCGATTTTTACCATTTTTATGAATCACTTTTAATGTCTTATGAAGGTGTTTGAATTCTATTTTCAATGTTTATAAGTGATTTCTTTATTTTAGAGTTTCAAAAGACTTTTCAGGAAACTTAGACTTATGGAGTGCATTTTTGAGCAAAAGTACATTTTTGGATAAATTCAGGCCGTCAAAAATTTGGCAACCAAAGAAGACACCATCTGATCATCCCCAAAATCGGAGACAACATAGAGGAAACAACCAGCTTTCTAATGCAATTGGATTGGACGGAATTCAACGGTTAGATCTCCATATGTCCCCAATGCACTGAAAGTAAATTAACACAGTCCGGAAGGTGAAGCTGCTCTCACCCACGGCTGAAAGAGTCTGCACCGCGGCTCGGACTCTCTCACCTGCGGTGAATCTATTTCTGAGCCTCAGAAGCACATCTCATAGCCCAAGTCACTTCGTGCACTTATTCTGCAAACCCTAGACGCCCCCTAGGGAGAAGAGACTATAAAATACATTGTCTTTAGGTCCTTACAAGCAGTATCTTTTCGTGTTTTAGAATAGAAAACTCATTTTTAGGTTTTAGGATTTACTTTTAAGGAATTATAGAAGGCTTTCTCACCAAACCTGTCTTCAATAAGAAAAACGGTTTTTCATTCTTTATCTCTTTACTTTACTACTTTTCTATTTTAAATCAATGATGATGTTAAGCTCAGCTATGTCTGAGTATTAACCTTGTTGGATAAAGGGAGCTTTCAAAAGGGCCCTCATGATCGAAAACATCTAATTTTTTAGATTAAGGAGTTTGTTTTACATGATTCTCTCATTCATCCTAAGCCTAATACATGTATGCTGGATTGATCACCTAGCATCTGATCTAAGGTTTAATCAGAGTTACAACAGTGATGTATCAGATTGCGTAATCTGGATCTTATGAATGTAACTGTCGTAGGAGACGAAAACTACATACGGAGGGGGCGTGAGCCGAGAAGAATTATGTTTAGTTAATGCATGATCTTTCTCGCAGCAAGAGACGAAAGCTACTGGTCGATTTTGAGTGATTAGATGGTTAGAGTGACGACAATTGGCTAATCATACATGTGTCTATTTCCAAATCATAGAAAATCCTTATCTAACTTCCTAATGTTATAGATCATGAAGCCTAGAGAAAAACCTTAATGCCCTACGCTTTTTATCTATTGCTTTACTTCTTGCTTTTAGTTTTAATCTGCTTAGTTTATTTAGAATTTTCATGACACACAAAAACTTCATTTTAATATGATTACGTTTAGAGTTGTTATTAGTATCAGTTAGAAATTCTCAACACAGAAATCCATATGGATTTGATCTCTAAGTGCTATTGCGTTTGTTCTGCATTTACCGCTTATTTTGGATAAAACTTGTAGTTTCCCACTGCCCCCAAATCAAAACCAAAAGTGGATAACTAGAAATCAAACTGACTTGGTCTTATTTCATGCTCGAGAAGCATTTAGATGCTCGCCGAACAGGATTGTAGCGGAACTTCGGACGTTTATATGGGCAATGTAGAGCTTACATATGTCATCTTTAGCTCGGATTATCAAGCTGCATTAGAGGCCATATTTAACCCCACAACATGGCCAAGATATAGAGCTTTACGTGAACATATTGCTCGCTTAGGCTCAAGCTTCAGACATTGTGCCTTTGATGTTAAGCGATTAAACACAAACATGATTGCAAGAAACATTGCAAAGAGTGTAACAAGAGATGGAAGATTCCAATCTTATCTTGCTCTAGGACGTCCGTCATTGATGCATGATCAGCTACAACATGAGTCTTCAACGAGAGTCTAAGAAGTCCTTCTCTTAGGATGTAGACACACAGCTAATGTTGTACTCTGCTTTTTCTGGTTTTACCTTATTGTTGTTTTGAAAACTCTATTCTCATCGTTTGATATATTCAATCAGACGTTTAAGAAAGAAAAAAAAATTCCTGAAATGAATTTATTATATATTTTATTTTATTTTTGGATTTTTTAAAATTTTTTATTTTTATTTTTTAGATATATTAAAAAGGTATTTTAGTCCAAGAGTGGCAAAAGCAAAAGTTAAAAAAAAAAATCAACAAGATAACAATTACAAGTTTTTTTTTTGTTTTATTATACAATTATGAGGGATGCCTATGTTTGTTCACAAAACCTCATCATTTAGTATCTTTTACGAGAATCTATTTTTGTGTTTCATTTATACTATTTTAAAAAAACTCTATAATATTTAACTATTTAACTGATACATCTTACCCAAACTTACAATAATTATTTTGGTTTTAGAATATACTAGGTGTTTTAGCCCGCTTTTGCGCGGGCCGAAAAGTTTTAAAAACATTAAAAAAATTTTAAAAGTTGTAAACCCAAAAGAGTTAGAACAACCCATTTAAGATATACCAAGATAAAAACCTAACTAATCCCAAAAAGTAAACACCATCTAAAAATAAACACCCAAAAAATAATAGTTAATAAGTGTATGAAACCTATAACCAACTAAATTAAGATAAATGTGACTTCTTCGTTTTCTTTCTTTCCTCATTTTATACCGTTTAATTTTTCTTTTTTGTCGTCTTTGTCTTTTTTTTTCTTGTGTCTCTCCTCATTTTACCTTCTTCTACTTTGTTTTCATTGTCTTTCATGCATTTTCCTTCTTGCGCTTCACCTTTCTTTCTCTCCCTCTCTCCATTGCTCCCTCTTTCCCTCTCTATCACTCATTCCCTCCATCTCTCTCTCTCTCACTCATTCCCTCTATCCCTCTCTCTCTCACTCATTCCCTCCATCACTCACTCTGTCTATCCAAATTTATATGTCTTTAAAGGCTTTTACTTCTCTCTTTACGTCTCTCTCTCTTCCTCCCTCTCACACAAACTTTTAAAACAATTTCCTCAAAAGTTATGTAGTTAACACAAGACCCACTGTGAAGCTAGGTAACCTTTCCTATCACGTGTACATGTAATTCTACTAAACGTAACCTAAAATACCAAAAACAGATTCATGTTACCACATCCAAACCATCTCTGTTGTCCATGAAATTCACTCGACCAAAGTAATATGTCGCAACCGAATCCAATCAGGCTGCCAACGTCTAAGGTTGCTATTTGTAGCTGATGATTTGTGACAAAATTTGCTAGGTTTTCTTTCTTCTTCGGTTTCTTATACTTTATTTTCTTTTTAATGTTTTGGAGATATTTTTTGTAATTCAAAACATATTAATAGAAAAATGAACATTCCCTATAGTTTAGCTTGGATTTCATTTTAATTTAGGTATTTTAATAGAAAAGAACCTATATATTAATAGAAAAAGTGCAGTACAACACTCTTCTTCCTTCCGTTAGATATATCATCATGCAAACTAAAAAACTTTTTATAGAAGACTTATACAATATATCGATCATATAATAGATTAGCCAAAGAATTAGAACTGGACATGTGCTTTTAATCGTTGCACATTGTTATAATATCGGCTACAAAAATCTCTAGCAACCAGGAAGGAAAGTGGAAGCTTTGGCTATTTTCATTTGCCTTGCGAACCAAGTCTCATTGGTATGATACACTGATCACCTCTGTGTAATTGGTCAGAGAAAAGATTCACCGATTACCTCTGTGTTCTTCATTCTTCTTCCCTCCCGTGGAGCTTAAGGCCACGACTTTGTGGCTATAAAACTTCCACTTTTACTTATTTTTCGACCATCTATCTCTCTCCATCTCTAGTGTCTCTCACTTTTTCTTTGCATTTTTCCAGTTGAAAATACTCCATGAAAATTAATGGTTTTGTCGGTCATAAATAGATAAGACACACGATTTAATATATCACTCTCGCTCTCTCTTGTTTGTCAAAAGACGCCCACCAAGTGGGAAAAAAAATATTCTCTTAATTTGAATGTTGAGCAGTTGAAAGTTTTCTTTTTGTTCAACCAATTTTGTTAACTTCTCTATTTGAATTTTTTTTTAAAGAAATCCCAAATCACTTTTTTTTTTCTCCTTTCACAGTTTTCTCGGCAGTTAAACTGGTCCAAAACAAGTTTTTTTTTAAAAAAAAAAAACTGAATCTTGGCATCGAAAGAAAGTTTGTCTGAAAATTAATTACTTCTGCTGCAACTTGCAACACTTGTATGACTTTGTTTAAAATATCAGATGAAATCCAAATACAATCGTTGTTGCCCTTCAGGGAAGTTTGGTATTCGGAAGAATCACAAATACTTTACTCTGCAGTCTCTTTGAGGGAAAGGTATTTGTTTTTTAAACTCTAAACCATTGTTTTTGTTTTTTTAAATATACGGTATGATAATGGTTTGTTAACTTAATTTAAACCATTATTTTCGTTTTTCAATATATATTTTTATAAAAGTTATTTTTTAAACCCTAAACTATTGATTTTGGTTTTTTTTTTAAATATACGGTATGATAATGGTTTGTTAACTTAATTTAAACCATTATTTTCGTTTTTTTAATATAAATTTTAGAAAAATTAATTTAAACTAATTTAAGGAGGGGTAAAAGGTAATTAGCCACCCTAAGATTAAATTAGAGAGCTTTAAACGAAATTTTTACTTCGCTTATAATATATATGATGATATATATGATGAGATCGATACAACAACTTAATATACATTTCACATCATTGTCCAATAGATAAGAAAAGATCAAAACGACAGTGAGCAGCTGATTTAGCTATCAAATTTTGAACATCGATCTGCAGATATTAAGTAAAAAACAAAAGAATTCGAAACTTGATTGTTCTTTCACTCTAAAACCTGTTCTTCTCCTTACACTTACTTCTCACCCTTCTCCTTCTTTTCTCATTCGCCAAGTTAGTTAAAACGAAACTATAACTACGCGCGTCACGTTTCTTCACTCCACAACATCAATGCCACTCTTACTTCTCTCACCATCACGGCCACTCTTGTTCATTCCATGCAGTTCTTCAGACTTTGGTGTTTCCTTTGTGGACTTTCTCATATTTGGAGTCCTCGGGCTATTGTTCGTTTTGGAATCTTCCTTGCAACCGTCTACGCTGTGGCGATGCCGAACACAATGCTTCCCCTTCACCTCCTGATTTGATGAATTAACTGTGTCGCTGCAGCTTTTTCTGCGGTTAAGGTTTGGTGACTTGGGCCGAGTCAGGGGAAACTGTGATCAAACAACCATATAATGTTAAAAGCTCTGTTCATAATATCCATGTATCAGCAAAGAATAACTTCTCAAGGAGTTTGCCGGTTTTAGAACAATCTAATTAATCTAAAGATGGAGAGGATGGCCAAGAATCACTGCTTCTGTATACTAATTTAACCAAACTATAACATCTGAATTTATGTTAACTGTTGTTACCAAGCATTAAGTTTATTCATGAATATAATAGTGATACACTGCCAAAATCAAACGAAAAGCCAATGTGGCCGTAGAGTAGGATAAGCCATTGGTGAGGATAAGAACATCTCACGCAATCACAAGCAAAGGAATCTAAATGCTGGATCTCATCATGGGATTCAACATTTTGTCAGACTTGGACAAGCAATAAAATGAATCATAGTGAAGTAAAAATAAGAAGGTGAAGAAAGTTCAGTTTTGTTCCTAACCTTTTTCAATGGAAGTTTCGGTGGAGGAGCCTCGTAGTAGAAATTTGGTACCGGATTAGCTTTGTAAGCCATGTTCTTCCGCAGTTGCTTAGTAACTACTTCTTGCTCTTCCTAAGTAGGATACATTTTCTTTGTTTTGAGAACGCACAAGAATGGAAGATGAAACATTATATTGAATCTAACATCTAATATTATTGTTTCAAGAATCGTGCAACACATGTTTTCTCCACCATGCTATTTCTAATGCAAAAGCCGACCTTTTTCAGTTATGATAGTGCACACGGAAACTTTATAAAGCAAAATTCCAACATCATATACTGACGACTGATGGACGTGTATGCATGAGCACAAAACTTTTACCTTGAGCCTTTTCTCGTTTTCTCTTTTCTCTTCCTCAAGAGCTTTCTGTTTCTCCTCTAATTTCTGGTAAAACTGAAACCCGAATATGGAAAATTAGCAGAGTGATGGAAACGCGCAAAAGGAACAGCATGTACCACATCTCTAAGGAGAGAAACACAGCATTACCATGCTTCCTTTAAACGTTTATTATTGTTATGCAAAAAATACCTCTTTCCGTCTCTCCAACCGTGATGTGCTCCTAAATGTTGGAGCAACTCCAATCGTTATTTTGGGTTTAGTAGTTCTTACTGATGTAGCTGATCTAAAAATGGCTAAGGATCAAAATCTTGTAGTGAATAGATGTTAAAAAAAAATGTTTTATTTTTTCCGTTTAACTTCACATAAAGGATACGAGGAAGCAACGGAAAAATTATCGTCTTCATCATGGTGCTTCTTGTGATCTATTGTCTTTCTAGCTGGTAGAGGGGAATTTGGCTGAAAACAAAGAACAGAGGAAAAAACAATTCAAAGTCTCAGTTTACAATAACCTGAAAATCCTATAAGGATAAAAAACATTGTGTTAAGGTTTAATTACAAGTAGCGAAGAGAAACACATGCAAAGTAAACAAGAAGCCTGCTGCCTACCATCTCAGTCATCAGAATAATAAGATTCATTACTCGAACGCTTTAACAATGCAAGAAATAACGAGATATTCAACACCGCACTCTTGTTTACCTGTGAACCTCTTGATCCCGAAGAAGAGTTGTGGCTAATAGCATTTACTGATGAAGTATTATCAGCTCTTGCTCTTCCGGAGTTTGAGGAAGCAGGCTTTTCAGCTGACAGAGAGAATGGCTTTGGAACAGTGTAGTTCGCACTACCACGAGTTTTAAGCGATGATGCGTTTAGTTTCTTCTTATTGTCAGAAGATTTATGGAATCCAGGCGAATCATTAATCCCTTCGACATTTGTGTGAAGAACTTGTTGCCTCTGATGAGCATCATTGGCAACCAAGTTCTGCTTGGTGCATTCCTTCACCTCCGCAGCCTCGATAGTTGTTTGACCTTGGACTTTATTATTATCCGAAGATCCCGTTGAGCTTGTTGTTAAACTGTTTGGCTTATTATCCATGTGTTTGTCCACAGGTTCTCTCCCCATTACCACTATAACACATAAATGGTCAGCCTTATCATCAGAAAAGGATTTTGTCTCAAATCAACAAAGAAAGCTCCCTGAATATTCAAAGATCAATTAGAAACTATCATGATACATTGCTATTGACAAATATCAAATCTGATCCTTAACAGGAAATTGTATATATATACCAATGCTCAGCCTTAAAATAACAAAACCATACACAATGCCCAAAGGACCAACCAAAAGAGCTACCTAGATATATAATCTTCAAAATCAGTTAGATACTATAATGTAACATAGATATCGAAAAAACATATAATCTAGGCTCTTTGAATGCTAGATTCTCTTTAGAAGATTAAAATTAGGCGAAACCAAATAAGTGTTGCATTTAAGACAGAAACAAGGTAAGGTTCAAAACAAAACAAAAAGACAAAAACAAGGAATGACCAACCAAGCTATTGAAATTTATCAGAATCAAAACAATATGAACAATCTTTAGAGAAACGGAAACAGCCAAACCTAATTAAAAGAAAAGAAACTGAGTGGCGCAAACAACATCGACCTAAAAGATCGAAATTTCGGACAAGGATGTGCAGATCTAACCACATTTTTCGAAATCCGATAAAAAAAAGATTTGAAAGGGTGTAAACGAAACTCTTACGATTTCTAGCTCCGATTTTATCCAGAAACGCGTCAAATGCATTCTCTCTTGCTACTCGGCCCCTTTTCACGTCTATCTGTCGAGAAATTTACTTATTTGTTTATTCTTTTTTTTTTTTTACATCTTATTTGTTTATTCTTAACACATTTTTTTTCTTTTTCTTTTGTCAACATCGATTTACTTTTCTACTCTCACGAATACTAAATACTTTTTTTTTGGGTCGACGAATAGAATGTCAAATATATTCGCCTTTTTATTGGCGTGTCGCTTTATTTAGCTCCTTTTGACTTTTCTTAAAAAAGAGAAAGAGAGAGAGAAAAAAAAGCATGTTGAAATTGCGAAAATGATATGACAGCAAACAAATGGTTATGCAAAATTTTTAGTTAGTATCAAGAGTAGATAAAACAGATCAATTAAACGGCTTAGATAAAAAAAAAGAAGGAAATTACTTAAAATATACCCAAAGTTTCATTGTATTATTATTACATTATTAGTTTGTTTGAGATTTGCATGGAACTCCATGTTTAGCCCGTGATTTACGTCAGCGAAAATGTTTTATCAAATAATTATATTAAATCATTAAATTGATTACCGATAATAAAGTAAATACAAATTAACAAAAATACAAGATATACGATTAATAAAAAATGGTAAAAATAATAACAATAAGTTTTTGTAGAAAGTAAAAAAAAAAACTTAAATTTAAGAATCATTATTACAAACTCAAGTAAACAAAATATATATTGATTGAAGATGTGTTAAAACGCAAGTCTACCAATTATGATTCATTAAGAATCTTACATTAGAAAAAAAAAAATCAAAACATACATATAAAAAAAGACCACCATTACATAAAAAAATACACTTACATATATTTGAAGTCTTATCCTTTTTTACCAATCATATTATACAAAAATTACAAATACGGAAGAGACAAACGTACATTGATAAAATATCGATCAGTATATTTCCATAAAGATTTTAACTCTATCTCTCTCTCTCTCTTTCTTTCTCTCCTTCTTGATAAACAAGGTCTTAGGGTTTTAATCCCTTGCCTGTTGTAGCATAAAGAGTGTCAATTCAACAATGTGGTTTAGTTCAGTAATCTATGTGGTTTGTATCTTAATTCAAGCAAACAAAGTGATTTGGTTGTGACAAGTAACAAATGAAGGCTAAATAAGACTAACTAAATGATTAAAGGCAAACAAAAGCAAGCAAAACAGATGATGATGATGAATGTAAGATGATGAAACATAGAGTTCTAGACATGATAACTAGCTAGGGTGCATCAGGGTTTAATCAAAGAGCTAATGATAATGATTATTAATGATCAATGCAGCTTAGGATTAATTTCAAGTTTCAATCTTTCTCAAGCATCAAAACACAATTCCAAACATTACTCATACCTAATCATCATTAGAGACACAATGAAAAGAATGCATTAAAAACCAATCCTAATATACCATCTATGCTCAAAACAACATTCCCATGTAAATCAAACAATAGACTCTTGACTTAGTTGGTTCTGACATTTCATCAAACATCTTTTGGGTGGATGAAATGCCTAAAATATGGGATAGAGAGATCATCTAAAACCCAACATTAAGATTAGCTAAACAAGACAGAAATGCATAAATCTAGTCCTAAGCAGCCTTAATCAAACCTCTAAGCATCCTAACCTACATATCTAGAACCCTTATGAGGTATATACTCACTAAAAACTAGCCATACTCATCACCAAATGAACCAAGCTCAAGTGTCAACCTTCACAAGAATTCCTAACTCCAACCCTTTGACATTCATTAAAGTTTCATGTGGATCACGCTCATGCAAATCATGTGAATTCATTTGGCTTGGGACTAGGTTTTGTGATTAAAATGATCTCAATATAAGTCACTAGTTACTCAATGCAAAGGGATCTCTAAAAAAATAGTAGACTTTAGTAGAGGGCTAAGGGTAAAAAGCAATGGATGCATACAAAGATAGAACTACATCTACCCACACCCAGAAAATGCTTTCACTCCTTACTCTAAACCCATGAAGTCTCTCTTCTTAAGCTACCTTTTCCCAATGGCATTTGCCTTTAATGAACAGCAGGTCCCATTCACTTCTTTTCATTTTATCTCTAGGGGAATCTTCTCTTTATCTCTTGCTGAGAACTTTCTCCTACACCTTCTCTAGTTTGGAGCGACTCCACATTGATGGGTTGTGAGCATTCTCCTTTCTCTCCCTTGCTGCTAAGCTCCTTGATTTTTCTCTTCATCCCCTTCACAGTCTTCCTCAAACTCTTGACAGATTTCACCAGCTTCCTGATTGTCTTTTCTTGCCACTTGTTCCAACCTTGGAGCATGCTGGTGTGGTAGTGAGCTTGGGCAATGGACTCAGGCATTCTTACATTATAAGGAGTGAGAAATACCTCTCACTACCATACTTTGGATCAGGGATAACCGGCTCATCTTCTTGAGCCTCTTCACCATCGCTTAATGCTCTCTTCTCCTTGCTCACCTTCTTCTTGATGCTAATGATGGAAGGATGAATAGCTGGGTTGTAGTGGAGGTCCTTGGTGATATGAAAGCCAATGTTCCTCTGGTCTGAGAGTGAGGTGATGGAGGTATTAGGCAGCAGCACCCTCACATCTCTCTCATAGAAGGTGAGATTATAAGAAAACAAGCCTCCTTCCACAGATCCCTCAATAAAAGTTGTCTTCATCAGATGTGCTGCATCCATCAACTGAAAGTGCTTCTTCTCACCAAGCAGAGGTGCTCCTTTAGCAATCAGGAGAGGGGTGATAAGACCTCCACAGCTCATGCGTAACTTCTGGATCTTTGTGGTGTAAGCCCAGTCCTTGAAGTGTAGAAGATGCTTCATTAGAAGTGATGCCATAGAAGGTTTCACCTCATCCCCTATAAATGGTGCACCACTCTGATAATAAGGCAAGAAAACCTTCATCCCCATTGTTACAATTCTCACCTTTTCTTTAGAAACAGAACCAAAATCTTTTTCCCCAACGAATGTCTGAGCTACAATCTTGTGAGCCATTCTTATCGCTGGATTCCTCAAGTTTGAAGCTTTAATTTGCTTATTCCAGCAAGATAATGATAACACCGTATTTTGACCACTTTTATGGATCATTTCGAAATACTTTTTTCTATGTTTTTATTGCTTTCAAGTGTTTTTATTATTTTTTTCTAGTATTTGTAGTTCCAAGACTTTTTTCAGGAAACTTAGGGAAAAGCTTAATAAAATGGATAGAAGACCAGATTTTCAGCTCAGAGTCAAACCGTCATAATTTCACCCTCAAATGAAGACCTTATCACCGTCTGATCTAGCTCAAATTTGGTGACCTCAAAGATGGAACTATCAGCTTTCCAGCACACTTTACAGATTCGCAATCCAACGGTTCAATCAAAAGTTACGCGAAGAGCAAGATGTCCCATAAACCAGCCGGCAAGCATTCCACCCGCGGCCAACAGCCTTTTCACCACGGTCAGAGGCTATACGACCGCAGCCAAGCATCCATTCACTGTGGCCACGTCCTGTACAACCGCGACCAGCCATCTCCGATTTAGAAGGCCCATTTCTGAAGCCCAAGTCATTTTCTCAGCCTTAATTCCGGAACCCTAGAGACCATGGAGCATTGGAAACTTTAAATACTTATCATTTAGGTCGTTTTTAGAGAGAGACTAAATACTTTAGAAAAGATGCAAATTTAAGCTTTTGTTTTAGGTTTAGGGAAAGAGATCTATCTCTTGAACCCTTTTTGTTTCTTTGTTAATTTCGATTTCTACTCTACTTTTTAATACTATGTTTTTGGTTTTGTTCATCATGTCTGAGTAGTTTTATTGTTGGGTTTAAGGGATTTTTGATAGGGTTATATATGTTCGATAAGGATTCCATTAGCTATTGAATCTGAATCCTAGAACCTTATCTTCTAAACTTATTTATAATGCATGGGAGTAACGTCATGAACTACAATCTGATCCCGGTTTTAGGTGTTGCGAAAGATTTCATTCGACGCCAGATCTAGTTCGAGAAAAGCAGATCGACCATAGGAGTGGAAACCTACCTATGGGAGAGCTGTGAATATTGATGAGTCTGACGCTTACTATGTCTTTTATTTTCCAGGGCAAGAATGGAAACCCACTGGTCAGGGTTGAGGGAGATAGTTGGTTATGATCACGACAGTGGCATATTCATACGTTCGTGATTCGGGTTCTAAAAGTTTTAGCTAGCATCTTATTAAAACCCAGCGCCTCTTTTCTATAGATTTACATCGATTTTCATTCAAGTTTTAGTCTAGTATTCTTACTCTTTCAGCCGATTTTCATACAAGCAATTAGGTCTAGCCGTTTTCTCGGTTTTAGTGGATTTATTTAGGTTTAGTTATTAGGACATTTTAATTCTCGTATTTTCTCGTTAAGATTAGTTTTTAGGTTTTAAAGACGCCACCATAACCCCTACAAAAATTACCTGGTTCTAGACTTCCTTATTTCAAATTTCTTTCAAAGGTTATTGCAGGAAAGATCCTCCTTCCCTGTGGATTGATAACACTTGATTTTGACCACTTTTCACCATTGATTTCAAATGCTTTCTCAAAGGTTTTACTTTGTTTTAGGAACTTTTGTTATGCTTTCCATGTATTTGTAGTTTCAAGGCTCTTTTCAGGAAACTTAGGGAATATGATGGCAAAATGGAAGAAATCCACATTTTTAGCTCAGAGTCAGACCGTCAGAAGTTCAGCCTCAAATGAAGACGTTCTCACCGTCCGATTCAGCTCAAATTTAGAGACAATCAAGAGGAGACAACCATCTTTCCATATCATTTTACATCACAAAGATCCAACGGTGCAATCAAAAGATACATGGAGAACAAGTTGACCCAGTTCACCAGTCCCAGAAGACTCTCACCCGCGTGAAACACATGTTTTACCTGCCTTGGAAGATTCTCACCCCCGGTGGACCGTAGGACGAGCCATAAGGCCCAACATCAAAGCCCACTTCACAATTTCTCTTTAGATAAGCCCTAAATGAGACCTGGAAGACCTTATGACCTATAAATACATTGTTTAGCAGCCCTAAACGGGTGTGTGCTCCTGTAATGAG